TAAATTTTAAGAGCACCACGTATACAAATTACGATACTACTGAATATTTTTCCCACTATTTATATGACACTAAGGTGGATATGCTTGGTGTCACTGTTGTGCTCTTTGATGGGATATATTCTGAGCCTACCTCAATAATTTAAATAATTTATTTTCTAGGTCTGTTGAGTAGATCATTTATGTAAAAAAATTTAAGTTAATTTGATATTGATAATCACGTGATTGGATTCAATTTTTTTTAAAGACAAATAGGATCTAATCATGTGGTTATCAATATCTATCAAATCTGTTTTTGTGATTTGAATTGTAATGCCCAAATCACAATGGAGCAACCTTACCACCAAGACCTGCCTAGGGGCGAGGCGGGGGATCCTAGCCCCGTTAACCTTTTGCAAAATCTTCATTTTATATGTATGTTTTTGCCCAAAAAAAATTATATATTACATAATGGCCCCTCAATTTCAATCTAACACTCAAAAAAAAATTGTAAAAACCCTAATATAGTAGAGTTACCTTTCAAAGAAAACATTTATAATATAGTGGAGTACTATATTAGTATCAAATATGAATGGTTAAGATAATAAACAAATTGTGATAAAAAAGATAATCATTCTAACATTATTGTAGTTCCAAAAAATAAAAATTGTAACATTATTGAAAAAATTTAATCCGGTCTATGTTAAAAACAATATAGTTTATTTGTGAGTTTCTTTAATGTATTTAATGGAATCACTTATAAAACTTTATGTACCTAAGGATATTGTATAATAGATTAATTATATTAAGATTTTTTTAACTATTACCAAATATTACCTTAACGTTTATCTATAAATTCTTACATTTTAACCTTGAAAAATCTAAAAATCCCCTAGATATTTATTTGTAATTATGTATCAATTTTAAGCAGCAAATAACAATATCAATCAAATAATCAAGACAAATCGACACAACGATTTTAACGTGGAAAAACCACAATTAGAGCGCCTCCAATTGTGATAAAAAAACCACGAGCAAAAGTCACAAAATAATCCACTAAGAAGACAAAAGGAATTACACAAGTGTACTCTCAATTACCTAGCGAATTCATGCCCGAATTGAACCGACTCCTATATGCCTCTTCCACCATTGTCTTCACCTCAGAATTGTCATAGCCAACGTTGAATTCACAACGCCGATGTTAAATCCATGACGATGAGCCACTCCAGGAGGAGGAATATTGGTTGGTGGGTTAATAACAGTATTGCCCTTGGTAGAGGTTGGTTTTTAGTTATGAATGGTATGATTTGTGAAAATGGAAATTGAGGTTGTTTTTGTCATTCGATAATCATTGACTTGGAGTCTGCTTGACTTGTCTGTCTTGGAAAGTAATTGGAGGGAGGGAGGGACATGTTAGGAAATTGCTTCTACCTTTAATCTAGTCAAGCATATTCTTTCATCACTTGGAATATTAACTCAAGAAGTTAGCATGGTGCTTCAAAATAAATAAGACTAAAATTACGGTATTTTCAAATCAATAAGCGTAATAATCATAGAATTGATGAAGTTAATATGATCCATTGAATTATAAAATTAAAAAAAATCAAAAAATAAATAAATAAATAAAAGGTTAGCTTCATTAATTGAGATTTTAAGAGCACAACGCATACAGACTACGATAATACTACTGAATATTTTTCCCACTATTTATATGACACCAAGGTGGACGTGCTTGGTGTCACTGTTGTGCTCTTTGGTGGTATCTATTCTGAGCCTACCTCAATAATTTAAACAATTCATTTTCTAGATCTATTGAGTAGATCATTTATGTAAAAAAAAAAATTAAGTTAATTAGATATTGATAATCACGTGATTTGATTCGATTTTATTTTTAAGATAAATAGGATCTAATCATGTGGTTATCAATATATGTCAAATCTATTTTCATGATTTGAATTGTGATGCCCAAGTCACAATGGCGCAACCTTAGTGCCAAGACCCGCCCTTACATAAGGTTCTCGCCAAAGGAAGAAATCTTAGTTGTAAAATTTGTAACCATTAATATGGAAAATCTATGATGTGCACCACAGCACGTTGTCAAAAAGTTAAAAAATTTTGTGGCGAAAGATAAGAATGTTTGTTGTGTGTTATGTTAATTTGTGATAAAAATTACGAACAACCATTTTATAGTGTGTACATTAAAGTGAAAGTTATGTATTTTTTGTATGAGCAAAATGTTATAATTATTGTGATATGAAAAGTTATGTTTACGTTACGAAATTTTGTGGTGCTGTTATAGTGGTGCACATAGTGTAACATCTCCCATTTATTATGTTATGAACTAGTTCCCTGTTGCAGCTAGTTTTCAGCAGGTTCAAGCTCACTCCCAAGAATAGTAAACATTATGGATAAAATTTTGGTGATTAAATTTGCTTCTTGTTCTACCACCAGTTACCTTAATGTACTCATTATTAAAGTTTCACTTATAATTAATCAATTTAATTTTATGATCGAATACACTTCACATTTTTGTCGTTGTGATCTTAGCCTCCGAAATGGATGACAATACCAACTGCTCACTTTCCATGCCACTTTGAGTTACAGGATTCCCAATATACTTTCCAAATCTCATTCATATACAATGAGTGTTGGATCTCCTTATATGGTTAAAGATTCTTCGCAGGTGGATTCTTATCAATCTGAGTTCTAAAAATGTTTTGTTTTGGTTCAGTGACAGTTGGAATTCCTGAGTTTTTGAGTGGGAGTGGTAAAAGGGTTGGCAATCACAGGCAAAGCTTGGAACACAGACAGCCCTTGTGCTCAAGAAACTTGGCATTCTCTGCAAACACATAAGTTAAAAGTATTTACTTTCTAATCTAGTTCATATCCATGTCTTACCTCTAATTGGGTAAGTGGTTGATGTCAGTTTTATTTCTTTGATCATAATTGCTATGACATGTTGGTTTTTGGACAACTAAAATTCATTCAATTTTGGTTTCTGCTGATAATTTACAAATCATAAGTTAGTTGTTAATAAAGAAATTAAAAGCTATTTGGATTTTCTAAATGAAAGAGATTTTAAGTACTTCTCCAAATTTAATTTCGATTATAGGCTAAGAAATTAGGGTGGATACATCTGTATGGGGAAATACTTCTCAATTTATGCTCTTACCTTAGCTTCCTTGTTTCTAAGGTGAGATTTTCCCACTAAATCCATAGACAAGAAAGATTAATTTCTAACCAACCATAGAGACAGAAAGTGTCACAACCCAAACCTGCCCCTAAAGGTTTGGCATCGTAACCAGTCCGTAATCCATGATTACCGAAGGCCTAACTTTAAAAATCAAACAAACGGGGCAAGCGGAAGCTAAGATATAAGAAAGTAAACGTCCAACGAGCCGTGAACCCACATGAGACAAAATGCATTACTATAGATACATATATATATACATATGTACACCAAGGTAGCACAAGTTTATCAAAATACAACTAAAAGAGAGGAGACATTCCCATTAACCACGAGTATAATACCAGCGGCAACCAACCATAACACGTGAGTGATTTCAAAAGGATGCTCACTAGACCACCTACGTGCTTCAACAAATAGGAACCTCGCCATGAGGCACAAAAGGTAGCTCGACCAAAACAGAGGCGAGGTCGCCATCACTTCGTTTCCTCATGAACTGGATCACCTACATACATATATATATATATATATACGTGAGCTAGAGCCTAGTGAATAACAACTGTGTAAAGGGATTCTGAATGATGATCATGATGTAAGACAAATCACAAACTGAATAAATTCTTATCTCATACAGAAAGCATAAAAGTACACGTGGTATATCTCATAGCAAGCTAATACAGGCGGTCTAGAAGACCGAACAGACAATCATAAAGACCGGTACGTAGACATGATGGCCATCAACATAATAAACAGGAGTTTCAAGAATTGGAACTGATAGAGATCTCTGTAATCATGTAAACAGGTGCTAAGGATGCCACAATATACAGTGTAAGAAAAATAGGATCATCATTCATAAACATAAGAAAAAGCACATTGGGACAGAGCATAAGATAAAGCAGGAAAGAGATACTTTAAGTTAAACATATCTTTACAACATTGTTACTCACAGTTGGCTCCGTGATGCACATGACTGGGATGTGGCGTTTGACCTACACAGACAGATATAAGCGTAGCACACTTAATTCGCTATACAACCAACTAATTATTTTCATTATTCAGGAATTGGTCTTTTATTCTCTTTTAATGCCCGTGCAATGCAAATGTACGTCAAATATGGATGCAAATCACACTAACGGAGGCCCGGGAGTGGGGTAAACGAAGCAGAAAAATGAAACCGAGGCTGCCAAACAGTAGCACGTGCGGAGCAACTTTAAAGTCGAGAAGAAAACAAAATCGATGCATATGGGAATTCTATGTTTCAACAAAACCATGGAAATCTAACTTAAAATCATGCAAGACCATGCAAGGGAGCTTTATTCATGCCAAGATTTCGAGAATTCCTCTTGTTAGGGTTTGTAACACAACTTACACTACCCAATCTCTCCTTAAACTCCATGAGTTCAAGATGAAAATTATTCTCATGAAAGAAATTAGGAAGAATTCTTACCTCAATGAGTTAATTTAGTGAAGTTGCTTCAAGTTCTCTTCTTCTCCGTTTCTTTCTCTTCTTCTCTTGTTCTTTAGAATACTCGCTCTCTCCCTCTCAGATTATATCCCTCTCTCTCTCTTATTTGAGCTCATCTTAGATATAAAAATTATCTAATTTTACTTAACGTGAATTAATGAAATTAGAACCACATCACTTGAATTAATTATCTAATTAATTAAATTATTTCTTACTGGCACCTAAGTTAGCTGAACCCTACTTTAAGGGGAATTAGGCTCTACCCACCTAGTCCATTAGTTAATTGGCAACCTTACAATTTAACGAAATAGACAGGTCTTTTCACAAATTAACGTATCTGTCAAACAAAACATGGTGCGCATAACATATAAGTAAACATAAAATGCACGTATAAATACATAATTAAGATTAACCATAAAATTAATGGCTAATTAAGAGGCGGATGTTACATAAGGTTGTTATCAGCACAATTAGACCACCACAGTTTGACTTCAGTGGAGTGAAAACTGGAAGGCACAGTGAAATTAAGAACAAAGAGTCGTGATGTTCAGAGATCTGACTGCCTATCTTCAGAACAGTAATGATATGGTGATCAAATTTGTGCACCAAATTTTGAAGCTAATTCCTTCCCCTTGTAAGCTTTTCTGAATTAATTAATTTTATACTGAATTCTAACATCAGAAAGGAAAAGTCTCTGTGCACTGAAAAAAGCAAACCGAAAATGGACCGACCTCTCTCAGGTTGATGGCTGCCGCAACGTGTGCTCCACCAACCTGTGAGAGTTCAGTATACTGTCAGTACGGCTTTTTCAGTGCACTAAGCATTGCTGTCGTCAGAAATCACCGTCTGATTCGCTAGAAGATGTTGTCCCTGGCTTATCTGGCATAAAATATGACTGGAAGTTTTGGAATCTCGCTGGAGTCATTGTTGGCGGTGATGGCGGCGGTGACGATCCTACAACACTTGTCACATTCCTCTTTTGTAGCTTCCTTGTGATGTCAATACAAACTTGATCAACCATAGCAAGAAAGTCCTTCACAATAACAAACAATTGAAGTGGGTGTACCCCTTTGTCCTTGGAAGCTCCTGCTTGGTAATATGCCGTTGTTTTATTCACGAGCTCCATTACCCTTGTTTGTTCCTCTCTCACCACCTTAAGCTCCTCTTCGCATTCCTCTAAAAATCCTTTCATTTCTCTCACAAATCCACCTCTTTCACCATTTCCACAGTTCATCAAAAGCTGCCAAATCTCAGCAATCCTGGTTGTGAGATTGGAGCACATATTAATGAAACTATCATAGTCAATGGTGGCTGCTTTCTTGACATGAGAGAATTCCACCCTCAAGCTTCCTAATATTGGTAATCCTAACACTAAGTACTCTCTGTCTGTCTCTTCCTTGGCTGTGAGGCTATCAAAATTTGGATCAGTATCATTGCTACTTTGATTATCCCTTCTTCCGAGGCTATAATTTTGATTGATGGCACAACGTTCACCCTCAGATCGAACAACTTGTTCCACAACAAAGTGAAGTAGAGTAGTCTTACCATCAGTGCTTTTCACATAAGAAAGTTTTCGAAGAGATCCAAGGTTAAATCCTTGTGCATTGCCTCTAGCTGTTCCTGCATTCATACGGTTACCAGCCTTGAGAATGGCTTCAAGAAGTTTATGGAAGATGCCGCGAGTTCGTAATTCCTTGCAACCCAATTCAAGGGTTTGCAGAGACTCCTTGAGATGCAGGATTTCAGAGTCATAATTGGACCGGAAAAGCATTGCATTGAAACGGATAAATGCAGAGGGAACAGCTTTCAGGATGTGGTAGAGGAAAGATTCAGCATCAGGAAGTTTTGTTGGGTTGCCATTGAATTGAAGGATTTTGGATACTTCTTCTTGAGTTGGGGAGATTTTCGCAAGTTTTTCGAGTATATCAGAATGAAGGCCTCGGCCCTCAAGGAGCGCATCAAGGATTTCTTTCCGAGGTACTGCAAGAGATCTAAGTACTATTGCTGTGTTTTGGGATTTCCGAGGCTCAAGGATGAAGATTTGAGCAGGTGGAACAGAGCTGGAACTAGTTGAACTTGAAATTTTACTGTTTTCAGGAGGTCTGTGATTGGTGGCATTGTATCCAAATAGAGCTTCCATAAGATCATCATCAAATCTGATGAACACAGAAGACCAATAACAAGGAACAAAAATGTGAATCATCAGACGGATAGTAAAGAAGAAGAAAAAAAAACATGAATATGTGGTTAAATTCAAGGCTTATTTACCGGAAAGATCCATCATTGATCTCATCCCAGACCACTGAATGATCAGCATTGGCTATAACCTTGTCCCAGTGCAGTGGCTTCAGTTTCATCCCTCTTGTGCTTTCTCCATTGGGAGCCTCTACCCTACTAATGATGCTTGTCTTTCCCCTTGGTACAGGAGAGGGCTTCATTGATGAAACCAAACCACCAGTCCCAGGTGGTGGAGGTGGTGGTGCAGGATTTCTCTTTGCTGAAGTTGGTGGTGGAGGAGGTGGTGGTGGTGGAGGAGGCTGAGGAGGTTGTGGTTGAGGGGGGCATAATGGCTGTGGTGGTGTCACAATGGGTGAAGGAATAAGTGGAGCTGGTCTTGCCACTTTGGCAATGTCAACCATATTACTTGGCTCATGAAGCAATGGGATTTCCTGAATTCTTTCAGAGTTCTTGAGTTTATCTCCTCTAGTATAAATCCTCTTTTCTTCTTCATCTTCTTCTTCTTCCATTGAAATTGGATTTACCCAAACTTTAGAGAAACAACTCATGAGGTGTTTTTAGTGGAGCTGGTCTTGCCACTTTGGCAATATCAACCATATTACTAGGCTCATGAAGCAATGGGATTTCCTGAATTCTTTCAGAGTTCTTGAGTTTATCTCCTCTAGTATAAATCCTTTTTTCTTCTTCATCTTCTTCTTCTTCCATTGAAATTGGATTTACCCAAATTTTAGAGAAACAACTCATGAGGTGTCTTTGTTCAAGTTTTCTCAAATAAAGAACATCCAACCCATTCTCATCAACAATTAGTCCTTTCAGAGTTCCTCCTTGTTCTCTGAACTCTTGATGACTCACCACCACTGTTTCTTCTCGACGAAAACTTGAATCAAATTTCTCTCTGTGATATTGTTGAGCTAAGGTTAATTTGTAGAAGAACAGGAACAAAATCCCAACAACAACTAGGGTACTTGCAGCTGTGGCCACAACAGCTTTAACAACTCTTCGATCCAGCAATCGAGTTGCCTTTATGACTGGCACTTGTGCCGGAGAGATTGGAAGATCGTTCAGAATTCCAGGTGTTGGGCTTACTACTGGAGAATTATATGCAGATGAAGAATTAATGTTTTGTGGAGTTTCTGATTGAGAAAAGGAGAGGGAACAAAAATAGAACAAGACAAACAGGATTATGAAAAGGGGAGGAAACCCTGGCTGACCCATTTGAAGCATTATGGACTTCTGATTCCTGCAAAGAAAGTGCAAGAAAGTTTGTTCTTCTTTCCTTCTTTTTTTGTTATTTTGAGCAATACAAAGATAATTTAGTGGTTGTTTGTGTTTGGGTTTTGAATGTTGACAGTTTCAAGAAGGTGGTTGATGTTGGTTGGTTTCACTTAACTCTTCCCTGACTTATATACTTCAGTGTTGTGTAAAGTCAGTATTGGTGTCATGGGTACTTGTCCTGTTTGAGTTCCATTGTGATCGATGGATGACATGTGTTGTTATGTGATGTCTCTTGTAGCACCATATCACAATAAGTAGATTGTGTTAATGTGTTATGTCTCTTGCAGGACCATATCGCAATAAGTAGGTTGTGTTCGGTTATGTGAATGAATTTGATGCACGTAGAAGAGTTGATATGCTTGTATATCATACCCTTTTTTTTTAAATGCAGGAACATCATTTATATTATGATACTGGGGATATTGGGGTGGACACCAGTTCCACACCAACTGTTATGTAATTGATGTCATCAAATATGCCAATGATCAATAAATATCGGCATGGTTTGGCAAGTGGGTTTGGATAGGTTTGGGGCTATTTTAGCCATAAAAGACAAAATAGGCTACAAAATAGGCTATTTTAGCCACAACAAACAAAACATCACATCCAACCCATAATCATTACACTCTTCTCTCACAAAAAAAGCTAAAAAAGCCAAAAAACCCTTCTCAAACCAAGCTTTTTAGCTCAGGCTAAAATAACCAAAAAACCAAAAAGTCAACCCACTTCCCAAACGACACCATCAATTGGTGGGCATTGAGCTCGGCAAGGTTGTAATTTTTTTTTAAAATTAAAAATGAATTAACTGCTTTTATGATATGAACAAAGTTGGATAATGATCATGAAAAATTTGCAGGTCAGCCACCGGGGAGTCATTCACAAGCTGAAATTCAACCACATGGAAGGGGTTGTTGATCAGATCAATTTTTACACCAGAGCCTGAAACCAGTTGTTGTAAAGCCATACCAGCTCTGGAACAGTTAATTCTGGTTTTCATTATCCTAATTTTGGAGTTTATAGGTATGGAGTAATTTGACAAGGAGGCTTACACTGGTAAGATTTCCCATTTTATTTTGGTGAAATATTTTATTCCCATTATTTTTGTTCTTCTGAATTTACAATAGTGATTCATGCAAAGAAACGTATACGTATGACCCAAGTTCATTCTAGGATCCAACCAAAATGAATATGAGTCCAATATCATTTTTTTTGTGCATAGTTTTTGGATTTTTATTATACGTAGCATTACTATTGAACTTTTTATTGAATTTCGAGTCACACACTGATGGAGTTGGACCAAAGAACTGTCCCCTTATCTCCAATCTAGGTTTCAAAAAAGGCTGGAGGAAAAAAATAAACATACATGCTTTCTAAATTATGTAATAAGGATAAGATCAAATTTATATTTAGATAAAATTCCAATGTGATTAAATGAGAAAGATAACTCTTTTCTTGTCTTTTCTTTCTTCTGGTTGATAAGAAAGTTGACATAATCAAGTCCTCTAGCATTCCATACATAAATTTTGAGCTACCCACAATTATGATCAATTTATTTATTTATTATTATTTGGTTGGCAGACCTATAAAGATTACTCCTATATTTAAAGTCGAAGTGAAGATGTGAACTACAAAATTATTGTTACAGAAGGATGAAGTGATGATATGCCTTGGAAGGTGTACTCATTTATAGTGAAATTTAGATGATTTTAGGCATGGCATGAGGCAGAGAAGTCACAGAGTGGGACTCACAGCTCCTTCCAATAGATGATGGAGTGCATTTGGTGTTGGAAAAATAATGATTTTCGGTAACTTCAATTCGAAATTAAAGTGGGATCTAATCGCTGGTTAAGGTAAGTATGAGTGGTTTTGTATTCTCTCAAATAAGAAAATTATAATATAAAAATGAAGAGCCGAAACTATTGAATTGTGAATGAGAATTATCTCATAAAGTGGACATCAATAAAAATTAAGTACATTTAAATCTTTATTGGGCTCAAAACTCTTCATTTCATGAGCCCAGTACCTCATTCGGTATGCTGTATGCACGGAAAAAAAAGGCTCAAAAATATAATGGTGTGTCTTCCAGGGGTGGTAATTTGCCCCAAGCATGTATTCGTATTTCCCCGTCTCATTCTATGCCTATTTTTCCAACCCCGATAAGAAATCAGAAGGGGAGGGAATTTGATTTCCATGTTCCCTTTTTTCTTCCTTTTTTTTTTTTGTCCCAGCCCAATTATATTAATTAAATAACTTTGTTATGTTCATATATCTATACATAATTTATAAATTATTTGAGACAATCTAAATAAGTATACTTTCGATTTTTATAAAAAATGTACAAAAAAATAAGAAGTGATAGAATTCAAATAAATACACATATCTAAATAAGTACACTCGTTTAAGAGATGCCAAACAAATTTTTAATTTGTTAACTATTAATAGAGTACAACACCAAAACATTTGTAAACATGTCATTTGTCAACTCTATCTCTCATCTTTAATCTATTTATTTATCAATCTTTATTCCTCGAGATTATTGTGTTTATGCTATTGAGTTTGGCCTATTAAATCTCTCGTCTAGGCACTAGGACTGACAATGGGATGGGACGGTGCAAATTTGTGGTAATTCGTTCCCGTACCATTTTTGTTGAGGCGACTCATTTGACTTAAGTTTGAATTCCGCTGTAAGTAGTTCTTTGTTGATGGAAAATATTGCGTAATGTTTTTCCTGACCCTGAAATAAAAGCCTCCCTTCTTCTTAAACTTTTTTTTGAATCAAAAAAAAAAAAATCATAGGGTCTCGTTTGAGAACATGCTAATTTAGTAACTTTTTAGTTATTTAGCTAAAATATGAGCTAAAAAAACTAGTATATTTTGGATGATTTTTTGACTTTTTACGAAAAGATGTGCAAAAAATAGAGAGAAAATAGAATCTTTGACTTTTTTATATGAGTTATCTGCTTTTTGACTTTTTTTAATAACTTTTTAACTTTTTAGCTAAATCGGCTAGTCTCCAAACGAGACCTAAGTGTCAAGGTAAATTTGGTACTCTCAAAAGGGAGCTGACACTAATAACATAGAGATAATATAGAAAATTTTAGGAATATTAAAAAAAATAAAAAATAAGAATAAAAATAGGTACTTCTTGATGCAAACAATCCATTAGAAAAAAAAGTTTCATGTCTTGAAAGCAAAGCTGGCAAACTCAATCTCTACTCGTTAGAAAAGCCATTAGAACAAGGGTTTGGATGCGAAGGTCAAAGAAAACGATTTTCAATACAATATTGTGTTAGAAAATAATGATTTTTTGGTAACTTGAATTCGAAATTAAAGTGGGATTCAACCGTTGATTGAAATAAGTCTGAGTGGTTTTGTATTCTCTCAAGTGAGAAGATTAAAAATAAAAATGATGGGCCGAAACCATTGAGGTGTGAATGAAAATTGTCTCATAAAGAGGACATCAATAAAAGTTAAACTTAGATTTGGACTTCTTAATTTAGACTGCGCCTAGACTTGTACTTGTGCATGTGTTGAATTTGGTCTTGGACTTAATCTTAAAGCTTGAGTTAAGGTATGTTATGTTGGACTTAGTTTGTGCATGTGTTTGAGAATGGGGTTTGGATCGGGTTGTAACCCAACATTGGTATCCATTGTGTGACCCATCTAATTGGTTTATTCAAATATCATTATATACATATTTATTTGTATATATTAAGCACATGAGAGGTTTAGACCTTTATAACTCTCATCTTTCGATGATGGAGTTAATGACCATATTAGTGGCCATAGATTTTCAACCTTAGTAGCTCTAGTCCTAATGGCTAGAATTGATAGCCTTAGTTATAATGACATTTGATGGCCCTATTGATGTATATCCTTTATGGCTAGAAATTCTCCTGCTTGTATAAATAGAGGCCTTTCCCCTCCAACTTAGTAGAAGAATTTAAGAGAGATTTTTGATGAAAAATGATGATGTTGTTTTGAAATAAAAGAGTTGGAGATGGTTTTTACACCAAAGAAAAATTTCTTATCTTTTTTTGCTAGTCCCTTCTTTGATTCTTGTTAAAGAGAATGCACCATTATCAAGTTCACCAAAACTATTCAGAAGGTACTTCTGCATTAGCTGATTTTGACCGTCGTATCTTGAAAAACAGAAGTCGACATACCTCCAACACCCATGGTGAGCTGGTTAATCTGTTTTAAAGACACTGTGATATCACATAGCCTTCAGTTTACTTTCTTTACCTTTTATCATATTGTGTATTTCTATAGTTGTAATATTCAACATATTTTCTCATTCTATTATACAATTCGATTAATCATGAACCTATTTATCTTGTTTAATTACACAATTTGTACATCTTGAATGTGATTTACGCATCTTTATCCACAAACTCGCAATCTTTAATGTGTTTTACACATCTTTATTCACAAACTCGTGACTCACAAGTGGCTCTAAACACTCTTTATCAGTTATTTTTTACTAGATCTTCACTTCATGAGGCTCTTATTGCAATTGACCAACGGTAGGATCAACTAAATGCATTCAGAATGATCTAAATGAAATGAAAGGTATGACGTTTTTCAACAAAACAATCAGAGAAGATTTCTGTTCTGAATATATAGCAACTAGATTTCCAGGAATCTGGAGCTGTTAAGTCAACTCCATAACTTCTTGGGCAGTGTTTGGATTAAAATAAAAATTTTAAACAAGAATGAAAAATATATATATATGAAATATAATTATATTACATTCATATTTTTCCAACCTCATCTTTCTCTTTTCAAATATCTACCCAAATTCACGAATCAAACACTTTTCAAATATTTACCCAAATTCATGAATCAAACACAACATCAAATCTTTATCAAAATACATGAACCAAGCACATCAATAAACATTGGATGGAGAGGGAAAATCAAATCCATAACCTCATAGTATGAGCTCTAATGGCTTTAACTAATCCCAATAATTAACGAAGTTGTTAATTAGTTTTTAAGTGATTTCCCCAATGCAGATTCACTCAAGTCCTAAAGATTCAAGGTAAACCTGCAAATTAAGTGAAGCATTAGCTAGGGCAACAAACAATAAACAAAATAAAATTATTTAAGAAAAAAAGGCTTTAACACCCCTCCACATATTTGTTACTTCCCTTGTATTATCATAAAATCTTATCCCCTTAGTCCTACATATAAAACCAGGGAACAAAAAATGAAAATCATCTCCCAACTTTTTCATCAAGCTAGGAATATCACTCGCAATGACATCTAATCTTTGAGTTAGCATATAGAACTACGAGTGTGTGTTAAATGCAAAAGAAAACAAAAATGTGTCACACCCCATCATCCAAACAAGGAACACTATGGATATATGAACAAGGAATGGTAAGAATGTTCAGATCTACTATAATGAGAGTAGATCAATCAACATTGCGCTGGAGTCTAGGCCGCTTTGTAGGAGGTTGTATTGATGGTGGGGATGGACTTGATGATTGATCAAAAGCTAACGTTGTTGGCAGCGATGGCGATGATGATGGCATGTAAGCATCTTGTAGTTTTCTCTTGCGACTTTTTCTCTTGACATTTTCCTCTACTTGCTCTCTTAATACAGAATCTTTCAGGCGTTTCACGTCTGAGAGTTTTACTGGCTTCAAGAGAAAGTCCTCTGCCCCTTCTTCCAAACATCTGTTACCAATCAGAAGTAATGCTGTAAGAATGTTTTCAATAGAAAGCCTATTGTCTTGCAAAATCAAAGACAAATCTGATCAAATTAACAAGGTGTAGCCACAAAATTGATATGCAACAAACATTTGAGTTCAAATTAAACTGTTAATTTTGTGATCAATGATGTGCATTCAATATTTAAGTTGAAGTGAGGTCAAAGATAGATGAATTTCATATTTCAGCTAAAACTAGTCTGCTGTTGTAAAGACCTATGGACTAAAATCAAACTTAAAATTTGAAACCCATGAACAAACATACATCTTTTAAAAAAAACTAAACCAAACATGTTTTCGTACTTTTTATCTCTAAAACACATCTCTCAAACACAAACCAAACATACCCATCAAATCTTTATCAAATCTTTATCAAAATTCATGAACCAAAGCACATCAATAAACATTGGATGGAGAGGGAAAATCAAATCCATAACCTCATAGTAAAGTTCATGAGCTCTAATCGCTTTAACTAATCCCAATAATTAACAACGTTGTTAATTAGTTTTTAAGTGATTTCGCCAATGCAGATTCACTCAGATTCACTCTAGTCCTAAAGATTCAAGGTAACCCTGAAAATTAAGTGAAGCATTAGCTAGGGCAACAAACAATAAACAAAATAAAATTATATAAGAAAAAAAGGCTTTAACACCCCTCCACATATTTGTTACTTCCCTTGTATTATCATAAAATCTTATCTCCGTAGTCCTACATATAAAACCAGGGAACAAAAAATGAAAATCATCTCCCAACTTTTTCATCAAGCTAGGAATATCACTCGCAATGACATCTGATCTTTGAGTTACATATAGAACTACGAGTGTGTTAAATGCAAAAGAAAACAAAAATGTGTCACACCCCATCATCCAAACAAGGAACACTATGGATATATGAGCAAGGAATGGTAAGAATATTCAAATCTACTATAAATGAGAGTAGATCAATCAACATTGCGCTGGAGTCTAGGCCGCTTTGTAGGAGGTTGTATTGATGGTGGGGATGGACTTGATGATTGATCAAAAGCTAACGTTGTTGGCAGCGATGGCGATGATGATGGCATGTAAGCATCTTGTAGTTTTCTCTTGCGACTTTTTCTCTTGACATTTTCCTCTACTTGCTCTCTTAATACAGAATCTTTCAGGCGTTTCACGTCTGAGAGTTTTACTGGCTTCAAGAGAAAGTCCTCTGCCCCTTCTTCCAAACATCTGTTACCAATCAGAAGTAATGCTGTGAGAATGTTTTCAATAGAAAGCCTATTGTCTTGCAAAATCAAAGACAAATCTGATCAAATTAACAAGGTGTGGCCACAAAATTGATATGCAACAAACATTTGAGTTCAAATTAAACTGTTAATTTTGTGATCAATGATGTGCATTCAATATTTAAGTTGAAGTGAGGTCAAAGATAGATGAATTTCATATTTCAGCTAAAACTAGTCTGCTGTTGTAAAGACCTATGGACTAAAATCAAACTTAAAATTTGAAACCCATGAACAAACATGCATCATCACCATTCCAATTCATCTGAAGCTGAATGAAAATTATGATTTGATGGCATGTGTACAAGCAATAGAATCCAATATTTGCTATCCAAATCCATTATAATATTTTCTAAATGATATTTAACACAATAATACCAGGGACGGAACATGGTATGTCACATGTTCTAAAATATATTATGATAAATATAGATAACACTATAATTTATTCAGATTCTTTTAAGTGTAAGAGCAAATTTTTGCTAACATGTACACATTCACGCTGTGTTTAGTTGGGGAATTTAGAAAGGAAAATGAAAAAAATAGGTGAAATGTGAATAAAATATGCTTATATTTCACATAGTTTCACACACCTTTTCCATTTCTCTTTCCAAATCCCTTCTCAAATCCCCCAACCAAACACAGCATCAATGAAACATTCTATCATCTTCAAATTAATCATATAAAATCACATTCCCAAAAGATTCCCCATTTCACATATAAAGACACAATTCTAGATTACATTTTGTTTTTCCAAAACTCCACTTCTCTAGATTTTATTTCATTATATTTGAAATATTTTTCTTGCCAAACTGAAAATCATAACAAAGTGAAAGCACTAATTTGAAACAAACACAAATTTAAAAACTGAAAGCATACCTATCTATACGGGTTAATATATTCTCAGATGACATGATCACCACCGGTATTTCTCTCAAAGTAGATGACTCCTGTTCAATAAAAGTTAACAATTTTAGCATTTTCTAACAATTTGGCAAAATTAAATCATCTTCAATAGAATCATGCTTGTTTGGTTGCCTAGATAACTCAGGAAAATAAATAAATCCAAAAGCCCTAACTCAAACTAATACAGCTACTATTTTGTTAATTAAAATACTATTAAATAATAGAATAAATAGGATTGTCTCGTGTGGTTTTAGAAATTACAATATACTTCTTCAAGTTTCTAATTGCATAACGAATTACCTCTTTTATCAATTACAATTCATATAATTCATTGTTGAATCAGAAGGTAGTTAAGATTTTATTTATTTTTTTATTTATTTTAGTTCTGTACAATATAAAATTCCAACCGAGGATATTTGTAATTTTCAAAATCACAGATCAATCCGTATTTTAAACAAATATGTTTCATCATTTCATTTTCTTCCTAGAGTTTTCTCGTCAACCAAACAGAACAATCAATCTTACAAAAATCAACCCTCATAACTAACCTTGATCTTCTTGAGCAGCTCATATCCTGTCATCCCAGGCATCGAATAATCCGTCATTATTAAATTCACCTTCAAATCCTGAAATCAAGCAATGAAAAACACCATAAATGACCATAACATCAAATTAACTCCATAATGTTTGGCTGCAGAGAAAATCGAAATTTCAATTTCTTACATCGAATCCAACGGAGCTCTTCTCTCCATCCAAACCGAGATATTGCAAAGCTCTCCGCCCACTCTCTACAGCCGTAACTGAAAATTCCAAATCCAATCGGCTTCAGCACCAAAATAAAAACCAAACAAACAAAAAAATGGCTAAAACCTAATCAGTCGATCGTAGTACCTCTACAACAAGAGATCTTCAGCAACTTCTCGATCACCTTCCGGTCGACGTGGCTGTCATCAACGGCGAGAACATGGAGCTCCTGTGAACCCGATGACAGACAATCCATTTTCAATTCTCACTCTGTCTATATATCTCTCTGCTTCTCTATTTCCCGGTCTATAAATACAGAAAGAAATAAATACATATATCTATATATAGATGATACTGTGATTGCGTACATGAGGGGAAAATCTGGAAATCTACATTACTTTAATTAGGGGTAAAAAAGGTGGTGGTGGTGGAAAAAAGCTGAGAGAGATTCTGAGAGATCTTGGAAAATCTAATCGAATATTTTATCCACCACTTTGTCTCTTTCTCCTGACAAAATACTATTTTCAAATCCAAATCTAATAACTTTCTCGCCTTTTTTTTTTTTTTTTTTCCCTTTGATGTCTGAGAGTTTTACTGGCTTTAAGGGAAAGTCCTCTGCCCCTTCTTCCAAACATCTGTTACCAATCAGAAGTAATGCTGTGAGAATGTTTTCAATAGAAAGCCTATTGTCTTACAGATATATGTGCTAGAAAATAAAAGAAAAATGTTATAAATCTTAATTTTTTTATTAAATAAATAATTAAATATTTTATATAGATGTAAAATTTTAAAAATATCAATTCTATATTTAGATATTATTTAAGATGTTCTAAATAAATATATTTTTTAAATAATATGATTTAAATAAAATAATGTGACTTAAATAAAATAATAAATTTTTAATTTTTTTAAGACATCCTAAACAAAGCCTTATGTGAAATCATTTATTTTAATAAAAAATTTCATATCCCTCCTATTACTCAAAGGAAAATGTTTGGTAACTCAAATTTTTGTAACTTAAATGGCTCAAATTTGTTAAAACGACGTCGTTTTACACTCAAAATCTGTCAAAACGACGTCGTTTTGACAGATTTAAGCCATTTGAGACATAAAAATTTGAGCTACCTAGCATTGTCGTTACCCAAAACAAAAATGTACTACTGTTTGAGTAATGTGTAAACGCATCTTTGGACATCTTTTCCAATCATATGATATCTTCCTTTTTCATTGCGCGTTACGAAATCTAATTGGGTGGTGAAAATTTTTTTCAAAAATGTTTGATATATTTAATTTATTATTTTTAAAAATTATATTTAATGTTATATTTAATAAATACTAATTTATTAAATATTTTATCATGTAAAGTTTAATTTTAATATCATACGATTAAGAATAATTTAAAAGTGATAAGATTTCGTTTGTTAACTATACATTTTAATTAAAAAGTCAAAAAATCATTATAAGTTATTACATCGCTCTCTCTATTTTTCTGTATATCTTTTTGTAAAAAGTCAAAAAATTATTAAAATAGACTATTCCCAAACAACAAGGCACCTGAGCTGGCCTGAGGTAAGGCGAGTAAGGCTGCCACATTGGGCTTCCAGATTTTGTCTTAAAACTAGGTTTCGAAATAATTCCGATCTTAAGTTATGTTTGAAGTTAATTATTTTGGTCTTAAACTATGTTTGGTTTATTAAAATAAAATTGAATAGTGTAATTATTCTATCATAATGTTCATTTTTCACACTTGATTACTAAAAAAGATTACAAACGAAATCAGCATTCACCATTTTGATAGAAGAGTAATTTTATGACTAAGGAATGATTATTCCATTTAATTCAATTTCATTTCAATGAACCAAACACTGTATTATAGTATTAGTAGTTTAAAAATAAAAGTTTAAACAAACAATTGAATTGGTGAATTATTTAAAAATAATAGATGGTTGTTTGTCAAATGTATGAATTATTTATAGAGTATTATTTGACTATATGAGTTACAATTGTTTGTGGAGAAATAAATTTTTTTTTTAAGTTGAAGTTAATCAAATTTAATAATTTAATTTACTACATTAGAAAAAAAGTGTGAATAAATTAATAGTGTTTATAATAAAAAATATTCAATATTTATCTCAACAACTATGATTTATTTCAATAAATATGTATACCATATGCAACAAATTTATAAAAGGTACAACCAAAAAAATAAAAATGAATTGAAGAACTCGCATTCCCAATAAGTCGGTACATGACATGCTATCACCGTTTGGTCCATATTATTTCAATTTGCTTAATTTTGACAATGAGTAAATTGACACATCGTATAAATTATAGGAACCAAATTGACACATCGTTTGAGTTTTCGTGTACCAAACCTAACGATTGTTATTTATTGAATTAATATAACATAATACGTTAAATTAATGAACAATATCGAGCAAATTAAAATAATATGAATCAAATTAACATATCATATAAATTACAGGACTATTTATATAATTTACCCATAAAAATATGTAAGTTAAAAATGTTTCTTTAGCTTTATATTTATAATAATCTATATGTAAACAACTTTTTTTTTAAAAAAAAAAAATTGTTAATGAAATGTATAGTTATTTAAATTAAAAATTAATACACGTAACTATTTTATTAATAACAAATATGTGTGGCAAATTTTATTAGACTAACACAATAATAACATGACATGGCAAATATTTTAATAGGTCTTATTATTTGTAACATAAGAAGAAAGAAGAAATAAAAAAGTGATGAATATTAACATATTTCTTGAAAAAAAAAATTCTTTGTTATATATATTTTTTGTATTTTAATTTTTCTATTATTTTCAAAACACGTTTTATATTAACATATTTCTTCGAGCACATGTTAAGAAATCTTATAGAAATATATTCTTTGTTATATATAGGGATGGCAATTTGAAACCGGTCCGACGAGAACCTGGCCACCCGACCCCGAATGGGACGGTTTTTCCCCGATAAAAACTCCCCACGAGCTGGGGATGGTATTAAAAAATAAATCCCCGATCATTTTCGGGCCGGGGACGGTGATACATTTTCCAGCCCCGGACCCGCCCCAACCCCATCCCCGTTTCCCCCGATATGAAATTACAATTATACCCCTCCCTATATATATGTAACTATGTTTCCTATTCTGTCTCTGAACTCAGTTCACTAAACTGAGTTTAGTCTCTCTCTTTCTCTCTCTCGCTCTCTCTCTCTCTCAAAAACCCTTCCCTCCCTCCGGCGTCGCTCCCTCTGATCTCCCTCCCTCCCTCACGCTGACCTCCCTCCCTCTCTACGATCTCCCTTCTTCCGACCTCATTGCTTCACCTCTCGATCTCCATCACTGCCTCCCTCCAATCTGCCTCACGCCGATCTTTCTCCCTCCCTCCGATCTCACGTCGATCTCTCTCCCTCCCTCAGATCTACCTCACGCGGATCTCTCTGCCTCCCTCCGATCGCCGTCGGCCTTCCATTTCGTTGCTTTTGTCGTCTCCTCCATTCCGAGCTCAGATCTGATGAAGATGTGTTAGATTTTTTTTTATTATTATTTTTTATTTTTTACATTTGATGAATTATATATATTTTTGCATTTGATGAATTTTTTACATCTGATATACATTTGATGAATTATATATACATTTGATGTGTTAGATCTGTTGTTGGATGATGTTTATGTTGTTGTTTTTTTTCATTTTAGCTAGGGAATTATCGGGGTCGGGAAAACCCGATCCTCGTTGGGGGACGGAGGCGGGGGTGGTGATAGGCTCCCCGTCGGGGATCGGGACCGGGGACGGGGAAATTTCTACCATCGGGGATCGGGGATGGGGAGTGTGATCCCCGACCCCGCCCCGGTCCGTTGCCATTCCTAGTTATACATAAGTATTGTATATTCTTTATTCTTTATTTGAATCGCATCACTTTTTTTTTTTCTGTATGACCTTTTGTAATAAGTAAATAAATTAATTTATAAATCATAAGTAAAACAACACTTGTTTTGAAACGTTGATTAAAAGTTAGTTTTTAAATTTTTATTTTTTTTATAAAAAAAATCATATAAAAAAATAGAGTAATAATGTGATCCAAAATAGATTAAAGTCTTGTTTGGGAAGCGATCGGTTTAGCTAAAAAGTCAAAAAGTTACTAAAAAAGTTAAAAAGCCAACAACCTATACCAAAAAGTCAAAGATTTTCTTTTTTTGTCCACTTTTTGCACATCTTTTCGTAAAAAGTCAAAAAATTATCCAAAACATACTAGTTTTTTTACATCATATTTTAATTAAAAAATTAAAAAATTACTAAAAAAATATGTTCCCAAACGAGGACTAAGTGGTGTTTTGAAAAGCTGACTTTTTGATTTTTTTAACTTTTTGTGACTTTTTTGTGTAAAAAAAATTGACTTTTTGTAACTTTTTTTTTTTTGTAATTTTTTTTTGTGTAAAAAAATTTAAAAACCAAAAAATAACTTTTTTAACTTGTTTCCAAACCAAACCAAGCCTTAAGTCCCATTAAATAGGGTCGGCTACATGAATCTTTCTTCTCCACACGGCCCTATCAAAGGCCATTTCATTAGTCAAATTAAGCAAATTCATATCTCTATTTAAAACGCTAGTCAACGTTAATCTAGGCCAACCCCGTCCCCTAACACTTCCATCTATCGTTATAGCATCGCATCTCTTCACTACTGTCTCTGTTGGTCTCCGTTGAATATGACCAAACCATCTCAAACGATTCTCTCTCAACTTATCTTCTATCGGTGCTATTCCTACCCATTCCCGAATACACTCATTCCTAATCTTGTCTTATCTAATCTTACCACACATCCACCTTAGCATCCTCATCTCAGCCACACTCATCTTATCTACATGTTGTTTCTTGGTTGCCCAACACTCCGTCCCATACAATATAGCTGGTCTAATAGCCGTTCTATAAAACTTACCTTTTAGTCTAGTGGGTATTCGTTTATCACACAATACCCCAAACGCACTTCTCTACTTACACCATCTCGCCTTAATCCTATAGGCAACATCTGCATCAATCTCTCCCGCTGTTGTGATAATCGACCCTAAATAACGAAAATGTTCACTCTTAGGCAATTCTTGGTTCTCAATCTTCACTTCTCCTCTACTTTCATTGTTACTGTTACTAAATTTACACTCCATGTATTCTGTCTTAGTTTTGCTTATCCGGAATCCTTTAGATTCAAGAGATTATCTCAAATTCTCTAACTTTGTGTTAACTCCTTCTCTAGTCTCATCCACTAGCACAATATCGTCTGTAAAAAACATGCACCATGGCACGTTATCCTAAATATTTATTGTCAACTCG